TTAGGAAAATGGGTTCGGATCAGAAAGTTCATCACTTTGAAGAAGTCGCCAAGCACAACAAGACCAAAGATTGCTGGCTTATCATCCATGGAAAGGTTTACCTCTCTAATTTCTTCTCGCACCCAGAATATGACCCAAAGTTTCATTTTTTTGAAATCTGTAGATTTGTGTTCTTTATATTTTGTGATAAACCCACAAATTCGGCCCGCTCTGGTTTGAGATTGTAAAAAATTGTTAGTAATTGGGCTGTCTTCTTGAATCTGAAAGCTTTGTGTGTTCATGGTGTTCTTAGATCTCTGAGAACTGTCTTCTTTTTTAGTCAAGATTTGGGTAGGGATTCTCTTAGTGCATATTTGGACCAGGGGTTTTGGTGGGATTTCTCAACCCACATCTTGATGCAGTCTTGTTGGAGATTTTGTAAAATCCAAAAAGATTGACATAATAGGTGATCATATAGCATTTCAATCATCATTTTTGTTAACTTTCTTTTTACCAAGATATAGATCTTGCTCTTTGAAGTCTTCCCTTCAAGCCCCTCTGCCCAAGTTGAGCCTTTGCAACAATAGGGAAGTTGGGTGTCTATGAAAGTTTGATTTCAATGTAGTTTTTTTAGATGATTTTGAGTCGGGGTCTCTTGAAAAAAACATCTGCTTCCTAGTAGGGGTGAGGTTTGCGTGCATTCATCGTCCCCGGATCCTAATTTTTGTGGGGTTCATCTGGGTGTCTTGTAGTTTTTCATTTTCAGGTAATTTGCTCTTGCCATATACAGTGAATGATAGATTTCAATGAACCTAAGGAATCTAACATGATCGTGATACCTCTCTAGGAGGGGAATGAACTCACTTATCATTATTTACGCTTTCCATAATTAGTTGAATTTGTGCACGATTATACCATGAAAGAGGCTCAAGTCCATGAATCAAAACTCCATCCGTCGCATGAAAAAGTCATATTTGACCAAAGTACAACTTTCTTTTTGCAAGGTATAAATGATTGGCAAATTCTCTTGTGGTCCTTATGTCCATATTCATTTATTGGACCTTATTACATGGAATAAAGTAATATTTGGGCCTTGTACAAAGAAAAATCTCCAACTATGAGCCCATAGAAAAAATGTTAGAAGGTCCACATTTCACATACTGACCTTGAGACTACAATATCATAACTTTGGATCTAAGTCATAAGTGATTCTTAGTTTCTTATATGAGTACTAAATTTACCATATTAAACCTTTGCCTGACTCTATTTTTGGCAAACTTCTTGCAAAATGGTACGAAGTATTAATTTGATCAAACATGACTCTTTTATTGGGTCAAAAACAATTATAGATTTAGAACTAGGTGGTTGTTAGACAATGATATCCTACTCTATGCCTTGCTTTTAGAGTATCTACTTCTCGTTTTAGCACTTCGACACTTACATAAAAGGTTCCTTTGGGGGGGGGGTCGATTCCTAAGGAAGTTGTAACTTTCCTATTAAGGAAAGAGTTATGTGGTTCACATTATTTCTCTCTACTCTGCATAAATCTCAACAACACAATTTCAGCTTTCTTGTTTATCGAATGGAATAGTCGATTCTAATGTGGATCCTTATTTCGGGATAGAGGAAGTTTATAATTGATGCGAAACTTGCTAAGTGTACATTATGTATTGTTTGTTTCATGGAGTCGGAAGGACTTGCCCTATTTTTTCCCTTTACCTTTCCTATTATGAGATTCACTTTTAAACCCATCTTTCCTTCCCACTACTCAATTGAACCAAGCAGATCACTTGTAAAAAGATGAGTAGTAAAATCAGGGCCACAAAGTAAATGGGCAATCAGTCAGGAGCCTAATAAACATAATTTATTTATCACCTTATTTGTTTAGCTCGGAATTTTAGAGCTTGTTTGTTTGTTTTATAACATGTGGCTTTTGTTTATTTAGGTATATGATGTGACTCCATTCATGGAAGATCATCCTGGAGGCGATGAGGTTTTGCTTTCAGCAACTGGTAAGTGGCAACTCTGCGATGCTTAGGCTCCGTTTGGTAGCCATTTATAGCTTACTCTTTCAGTCTTTCTCATAATAAGATTAACCCTTTGGGTTTTTTTCTGACATTATGGCATTGGCTCCATTTGAGGGCCCCACTGTGCTTTGTTTGACCCGAAGTGGTTCGTCCCTGCCCCCTAATATGACTTTGAGGATGATGAACAGGGAAGGATGCAAGTAATGACTTTGAGGATGTGGGGCACAGCGACGATGCTAGAGGCATGTTGGATAAGTATTACATTGGGGAGATAGACGCGAGCACGGTCCCGGCAAAGCGCGTTTACACGGGCCCACGCCCACAATCCCAGGAGGATAACTCCGACAAGAGCCCGGATTTGATGATCAAGGTTTTGCAGTTCCTCGTGCCCCTCTTGATTTTGGGACTCGCGTTTCTCGTCCGACACTACACCAAGGAGAAGAAGTGAAGATGGGTTTGCTTGGCTTTGTATGTTGTTGTATTGTCGGAGTAATAATAATAATAATAATAATAATAATAATAATAAACAAGAAACATAATTTAATTATGATGTTTGAGTGGGGAGGGTTTTCCCTCTTCCCATGTTTCTCCTTTGTCGGAGTTTTTTCTTTTTATAGTTTGGCCGAGAAGTTCATTTGTTAAGACATTTTATTGTCTTCCTTTATGAGCAGTTTATTTATAAACACTTTCGATCTGTACTATTTAGGAATAATGTCTTAAAAATAGTGCATTCAAAAGCTAAACGTTACATTGTGTTGTTCAAATGTCAAAAATAAACACTGAAGTATTTGGTTCTAATTTGAGTACGGGGTAGTTTTTACTGAAAAAATCACTATTCATATGGTTTAATTTTAACTACTCGGTAGTATTTTATTTACAGGTTTTCGGCACTCATTTGATAGAATAATAAGATCATGTCACTTTTTGTTTGTAGAATTTTATATTGATGTAGGTTTTAAATATGTTAATCTTATTTTTGAAATTTACACTAATTTTCATAAAAAATGAATGGAGAATAATTTTAGTTAAATATCAAAAACCATAATAAGTAATTTAAAATGTGATGGTAGTATGATTCTTTTACCATCGATTCTCAAGTGTTTAGGTCAAGATTGCATTATATTTTGACCAAAAATTGTGAAAAAAGTATATTTAGTTGTATTGTGAATTTAATAAAATAGAGTTTGCTTTAAAATATACTCCGTACCTCATAGATTTGATATATCAAAGTTTAATGACATTTAATTATTTAAAAATTAAAATATACTCAATTTGTAGTCGAAGTGTTACGCAATTTAACTAAAATAGTTGATTTGTGAGGTTTTTTTGGGGGCGGAGGGATTTTTATTTATTTGCTTCATAATTTTTTTTTTAATGGAAAAGAAAATTTTCCTAAATGATAAATTTATTCTTTAACTTTAAATTGTTACCATTCACTTTATTTTAATTTTTTAAAGCATAAGAGATATGTACTCTAGATATAGAAAAAACTTTCTAAATAAGAGTAAACCCATTTAGAAGGTGTTTGGCAGTGCGCGGCTTTTAATAATTTAGCTTCTGTTTTGAGTGGAAGTGGTTTTACTTTGTTTGGCACGTCAGATTCTGCTTTTCACCACCACTATTTTGTACATAGAACATCGTTTCAGAGGAGCAAGTATAAGGTGTTTTTGCTTTCAGCTTTTGTGAAAATCACTTTATCCAAAATTGAATCACTCCCAAACATCCTCTTAGATATTTGTGAGACTAAAAACATCGCCTAAATAAATAAATCATCTTAGTAGTGGTCCTGGCCCTTGGGAGCGTGGAAAATGTGCAATCACATAGGGCACGTGTTTGGTAACTAGCATTTCATTTCAATTCTAAAACTTGAATTCTTAAATTTCAAAGTGCATGAATTTTAAAATAAACTTTGTTATGAATGAAAAGAATTTGACTCAAATCCAAATTCAAAATTTTTAAGTTTTTCAAACATGGAATTTGAGTCAAATTCGGATTTGAAATCCAAATCCATGTTCCCAAAAATTCCATTAATGTTCCACATTAACTTATGTATCGATCCTCCTAGGAATTAAGTTATTTGTACGGTTGTACCCAATAATTATATCCCTTTTTGTCTACTAACATTTTATCTCATTGTGAACCATAAAAAACATATGCATTTATTTTTTCTTAAACATAATCAAAATTTCTTTACATTTGCATAATAATTTCCTTTATTGCCAAAAATAGTGTTCAACTCCATCTGTCCCAATTTAAATCGTATGTTGATGTTTATGAAGTTTGTCTTAATTTATTCTCAATTTAGTGGAGACCTAGTGGAGCATAAATTTTTCACGGGGTCTCTGAAAATTAGATACGGTTCAGTTGTCACAAGTAATACTGCTTTCTTTTTAAAGCGTCTAAGGTATTCTTTTCACAAAATTGATAGTTTCTACTCTAGATAATTGTCTAATCACCACACATTTGGAGGGCTAAGGTTAGCGGTTGAAAAGAAATTAAGAAGTAAAAAACATCAATTTTGTGAATATAACACCGATAGGCACTCCAAAAAGCTATAGAGAATTCATGGCGCCAAATTTTTTTAGAAATCATCTTAAATAGGACTAAAACATAGAGAAAAATACCAAAATAGGACTTTCATGTTTTTTTTCTCGGAATAGGACTTTGCACTGTGGTAATGTGACTTTGCATTGTGATAATGTGACTTTGCATTGTAGTAATGTGGCAGTGTACATGTGCAAATTACTATACTTTTTTGGTAATGTATATGACCATGTTTGGTAATGTAAGTCCTATTTCGGGAATAAAAACATGGAAATCCTATTTTGGTATATTTTCAATATTTTAGTCCTAATTTGGTCTTTTTCCCAAATTTTAGAACATCCCCACAAAGTAGAAGTAAGCCACAATAACAATCATAGGATTCATAGCTCAAGCTACTCTCTATAATTGTTGACCAGAAAGAGACAAACGCACGGTATCCGATGAAACATCACAACAAAACAGGTTTGATTAACACCAAAAAGAACCCAAAATGTTCTGTTTATACACTTCCACTGGTGAAACACAAAACAGCATTTGTTTTTCTTCTTCTTTTTTTTCTTCAAGAAATCCCAAAAGGAAAAAAAAATACAGGTTTAAGATTAAAATCCAAAGACAATTAGTGATGAGTGTGGGATATAATATTAATTAATTAATTAATTAAACCTTGTCGTGGAGAGTGACAACCAAATCATGTGCATCATCTAGAAGCTTCCAAACATCGAGATGCCCAGCCATGTTGTTACACTCCCTCAGTATCTCATCCATGCTGCTGTACTTCTCTATGATCTGCTTCCTCCTCTGCAGCACCGACGCCGCGATCGCGTACAGCAACAGATCCTCCGTCGGCGGGGCCCGCAGCCTCATCCGGCTCCACGCCGACTTCCCGATCCCTGCCCGGATCGCGGCCTGGTCTGCCCACATCACCTCCCACAGGCACACTGTCTGGTCGAACGTCAGTTCCCTTCTGAACAGCACGATCACCATCCGGTACACGAAGAAGCAATCCTCCGCCTGCAGCTTCACCAGGTGCCGGTAGAGGTGCGAGTCCTTGTGCTTGATGATCTTCGATACGATGCTGAGCTGGCGCCGGATCCCCACCTCGTCCAGCCGGAAGTTGTGCCGGGCCTTCTTCATGAACCCCACGAAACACCAGAAGGCTTCGAAGTCCTCTGCTATGACGCTGAGTATCGGGGAGAGGAGATCGCTCATGCCCTGGCAGTAACCGATTTCTGGGTCGTATAACGCGTACGCTTCTAGGATGGCGACTAGTCTCGCTGCGTGGAATATTCTAGTGGGGTCCAAGTGGTCGTAGTCCTTCAGCCCGACAGCCTCCGCGGAGCGGCGTGCCCGGTCATCCGGGAATTCCGCACCGTCCCTGCCGAGAGATTGCGCCATCCACTCCGCGTTAGACCGGATCGCGTCCAGACGAATGATACGCTGCCACGTGGCAAAATCTTCCGGGTTGCGGAGCTTTGACTGGACCTCCTCCGTCGCCACGGGGGAGTATTCCTCCTTGGTGGACGACGTGGACGTCAGGGTTAGTAGACTCGCTTCGGGATCCGAAGACGAGTCCGAGTCGGACGATTCAGACTCGGAGGCGTAATTCGGTTCGGTCATCCGTTTCGAAGCGATAACATTACCGTCGAACAGCAACACGTCGTCGGCGGGCCCACCGTCAGAGTACTCGTTGCTCGAGAGCGATTCCCGGGCACTTACAGCGTCTTCGGAGTCCGGAGACTCCATCCCTTCTCTACTGCCGCTCCCATCAGCTTCCTTCTCGTCGGTGGATTTTGACAGGCGACGACACTGCCTCCGCAGCTTCTCATATTCCTTCCTGCAGCATCCATAGATTTCAAACAACATTGATAAAGAAAAGCATTGGTTGTGTGTGTGATTGTTTTTGTGTTTTCTTGGGTGTGTAGAGTCAGCAGAAACAGTACCTTTTCTGACTTCTCTCGTGATCTCTTTCTTCTTTGGAACTGTTCAAGTCATAGCTGCAGGAGAAAAAGGCCATTGGAGAGGTTGTCAATCTCATGAATACAGCTGTTAGCTTTTACAGTAGTGCTCAAGAGGAGATGCATAACCATGGATGATCATCATCCCAATTGTCAATGAAAATAAATGAATAAATGCCTTTTTTGTCCCTTGTTTGGGAAACAAGAGAACACAAGGATAGGGAAATAAAGAGGAGTGTTTTCCTCTTCTCATTTTCTCTCCGAATTGGACAGAAAATGTGAAATTTAGGACGAAATTTACTTTTCATAACAACAACGATCTTTTAACAGCAACAAGAACAACAACATTCCACAAAAAAATAGGATCTGTGTTCGGGAGTAGAAAGACTGTTTCCAAGACACTATCCTTTAACCGCGTTATAAGATGATTGTATCTTGCCCACCAAAATTAACAGTTCAAAAAATTATGTCCTCCCCCTTCTTCAATCACACGAGAGAAAATAAGGATGACGCTTATTTTTCCCCAAACAAAACGCAAATGTTAATCCATGGGAAAAATGGCATTTGTCATCATGATCATAGTCAACTTAAATCTCAAAGCATTCAAAAAAGAGGAACGTAATAAGGTAGAGAGATCCACAAGAAGATGGTCAGGAATTTGAAAAGAAACTCACACTCCGAGAAGGAAAGGCCAGACTTCAGCCCTGATGCTGGGATCAACACCCTGCACATCAAAGTCCAAAGAAATCTTCAATAACACAGAAACAGGTTTCGTGTTTCATCAAAAGATCTTTATAGAAAAGAAAATAACAGTATAGAGTTAGGGCTAAAGTCTCACTCCACTTCGGACTTTCTTTAGAAATTTAACTCCGCCAGCTCTAAGCCTTCCATCTGCTGTGAAAAAACTCTTCCATTGCTGAGGTGAAAGTATGTGTTTTCTCTTTCTCCTAGACCACGGAGACTTGTGATGACCCCTGCTCGAAGATCTAAAGTTTTCGAAAGACTAATCAACAAACCAAAAAAATGCAGATGCCAATAATATTCAATCCTCACTCAACACAGTGACTGAAACCGATGATGAAATGTTCGATATTTGGCTCTCAGATGAAATTTAACCAGAACCATATGACGCCCCTTTAAACACTAGCTATTAAATCAAGCATGATAAAAGAAACAGAAAAAACCAACAAATCCTAAATCCTATCACAGCAGACAATCAATGAAATGTCTCGAAATGCCAGAAATTAGGAATTGCTCAACAGAACAACAAAATCAGTAAAATCCCAAAACAGTAGGGTTTGCATACTTTACCCCAACGACAAATTTTTCAGTGTTTGCTAAAAAATTGAGAATCAATCAGCATACTAACTGGGAAATTGAAAAGAAGAAAAGCAAGAAATTGCAGAAATGAAAGGATATGTGATCAAGATCTGAACTTTGAACAGTGAAATCAAAGAGATGAACTTTAATTAGCAGAGCAGTTAAAGAGACTGACCCATCAGATGAAGAACAGGCGGCCGGCGAGGAGGAGGCTACTACGAACAGAACGGATCTCAACTGAACCCAGGAAGTTGGTGTTGATGAAGACGATGAGGAAGAGGGCGACGAAGAATTGGACGGCGTCTGACTCCGTTTGAGGGATTTCATCTACTTGCACAGTAACTGTTCCTCACTTCTCAATAATTATAATCTACCAAATCTACAGATTGATTCCTAGGGTTTCAAAATTCAAACCCCATATCTTTTTTCTTCTCCTTTTCAGCTTCCGGCAAAAGAATCTCCCTTTTCTCCGTTGCGCGAAGGACGGCGAGACCATCCACGGCCGTGACGGCGAGTGCTACAGTACCATCCCGAACCCTGGTCTCCTTCCTTTTCCAGTTGCGCCGCCGCAGGCTAAGACACCTCCGCCGACAGCTTCAACCGGCGCGAAGCAAGAGAAAAAGACGATCTTTATCGATTACCCTCCACCCGGAGCTCCCAGATGCGCCGACGAGCTGACTGTAAATGGATTCCCCCGCACCCAGCTGAACAAAAGCAGCATTCGCTTCCTTCAACTGCTTTTCTTTATTTCTTTACTGTTGGTAAAGAACCCGCTTTTCTTCTTCGTCTAGTTCTTTAACTTTGACGATGATGATGAAGATGATGATTATTTCTTTATTAATTCAATGGGGGGGGGTTTGCAAATTCTGTTTCTGGGCACTGATTACTACTCCGTAGTATTATTATTATCGCCAAGAGTCTATTTCTTTGTCTCTTCTCTTCAATCACTCACTCTGTCGATTTTTAGGTGGGAGTGTGGTTAAAGAATGGGTCTGCGTTGGTTTGATCTGTTTCTCTCTCTTCTCTCTCTCTCTCTCATTGAAGAAAGAGAGTACGGGCCGGCATGGAAGATGATGGTGGAGCTAGTGAGAGAAAGGATATGATCCAGAGAGAGAGAGAGAGAGACTTGTGGACTCTTTGGACGATTGATACCCACCCAACTTTTGGAAAATTTAAAATGAATACCCTTTTTGTTTGTTTAATTCAAAATACTAACCACAACAAACACCAAGTTTGTCTTCTTTTTTTTTCTTTTTCTTTTTCTTTCTCACTTTTTCTTTTTTAAAGGTGACAAGAACGCAATCACTGCGGGTATTAATTAATGATAACATCGGATTTGTTGTTTGTAACCATATAAGTCTAAGTTGGTGTTTGGTTGGAGAGAAGTTGGGAGGGATTGATAATATTAAAAATTTAAAATCCTTCCATGATTTCGTACAACCAGTTGTACAATATTTTCTGTTCTATGAGTACTCATTTACGAATAATTCAATACTCATTATTGATCAATCGAATACTAATTTTAAAGTAACTGATATTCATTATTCTAAAACTCAGTTATGTTTAAAAATAAATATTCAGTTATTCAAAAATGAGTATTCAGTTATTCAAAAATGAGTATTCTGTTACTCGAAAATAAGTATTTAATTACTCACAAATGAGTAGTTATGTGGATGTACCGGAAATATCGTACATCCGAATGTATGATATAGACAGTCCCTTTCCTTAAAACCAAATACAACTCAATTTCTTTCTAAACATAAAAAACTGAATTTCAGGTTATGTTATATGATGGATCGTTAATAAATTACCAAACACGATCTTGTACAAGTCGCTGAAAAGAGAGGGATGCGAGTGAGCAAGACTGACCATTTCTCCAATTTAGTGGTGTAATGAGACAACAACACAAGACCCAAATAAGGAGGTCTGCGATCCTTTCAAAATGTAAATTTTAAAATAATAGAATCAAAATTGAAAAACACAATACCTATGTAGGTCTTGGTTTTTTAAATGAGAAAAAATTAACTTTGGACTTTTTCCCACTCTTTTGAGTTCCTTCCCTTCCACTTTTTTTGACGATTTAAAAAGATATATATTTATGATCTATATACAATAATATTATATACCAAATTTATAACATACCATTTCAAATACGGACAATAATAAATTCTTTTTCATCTAAAATTAGAGTTTTTTTACATATTTATTTGAGTGGTCATTTGGTTAAGTGACTTTTTTACACTTGAATTCTTCCAACGTTTTTCAATTGCTTCTATCCTTTTCAACTTCTTCAAGTTTCTTCCAAGTTTTAAATATTTTAGTCAAAATTGACAAAATTTGACCATTAATTAAATTAAATTAATATTAGATACTTATATAAAAATGATTTTATTAGATCTTTTTATAAATTATTTACAAAATATTATTTTATTTAATTAATATATCATAAAAAAATTTATTTAATTATATGTTAAATGTTAAAATTGAACAAATATACTCATTGATGAGGTAGTATGATACTAGAAATTGTTAAATTATATTAATCCAAGTGCAATTTGATTTGAGAAACTCATAGTTGACAAATACATACTCCGAGATAGAGATCATACATAATCAAGATATGCGAAATATCAAGGGGTGATTTTTCAATTAAAAAAATATAATTGTCTCATTTTGTCTTGTAATCTTTTCATTTACTTTTAATACAAAGTTTAGAAAAATGTTTTTTTGTGGTTATGATTCTGAGACGGTTGATGTTAACTTAATAATTTCTTTAAAAGAAAAGGAAAAGACTAACAATATAATGCTAGTGCTAGCATAACTTGAAAGATTATTCTTTGAATTTAGAAATTGTAAAACTAACCGTGCACAATACAATAATTTAAAAACCCAATTTAACTATAAAAAACATAGGAGTATATTGCTTCGTAACACTCCGTAATCTTAAAGTTGAGTGTGTTCATCGTGAAGTGCATGTCATTGTGCTTGGGGGTGGAGGAGAAGGGTTCGATAGAGCAGGGAAAGGTGGAACCCCCATCTTGCGCCATTAGACTCCATTCGGGCAAAAGTAGTGCGTGAATAAATCACAGTATAATCTTAATGTAGTTTTTCAAAGGTTCATCCGATCCTGTGCACAATGCACAAAAAGAGCTAACACTTTGAACAAAATTTTCATATACTCCCTCCATCCCCCAGTTTTTGTCCACTTTCATTTTTGCACACCATCAAATGCACTTCTTTAATTCATTTTATCTTGTAATTTGTATATTAAAAATTATAGAAATTATATATTAATAATCTATATGTTAAGATAAATCAAACAAGATCACACATGACTATATTTAGGCTTACACATTAAGAGAATTTGATGAGTCAAACTGTCAAAGTGCTTAGATGAACAGTTTCAAAAGTCAAAAGTGGACAAAAACTGGGAGACGAAGAGAGTATATTGTTACTGCTTTCCGAGAATCCATCATGAGTCCTTGTCCTTCTTTAACCATCAACGAGTCGAAAGGAGGGATTAAGGCCTCGTTTGGCAACAACATGAGAATTTAAGATTTTGAAAATGCTATATAACGGTAATTATATTTTTAGCATTAGCATTTTTAAAATTAATCTATACGATTAAAAGTGTGTCTAAAACAGTATTAATATAATCGAAAACATTGTTAAAAAAAAGTCTAAATCGAATACAAAATGGTCAATCAAATTAGAAATACAAAAAGAAAAATGGAACAAGAAAACACAGTTTGTAAATCCCTTTCCGCATGTAACGCATTTTGTGTAACTCTTTTCTAACATAAAATTTGGACCACTGCGCCCCAAATCATTGACTATAAACATCACTTCATCATTTTCAATGTCCATTATATTGTGGAATGTTTTTTTTTTGTCACACTTTTTTTTTCCTTTTCAGATATCTTTGTTTCCTCCTCTTTGCTTTCTCTGTCATCATTCTTGCAAAGGTAATTAAGTTGCTAACATGAGAAGGGTAAAAAAAGAAATAGAGAAAGGAATAAGTTTGTTGACTATGAATCTATGATCACAATTTATACCTCACATGATAGTGTTCTTAAATCTTAATTATAGGGGGATCCGAATAATTGTAAGTACTGCAAAACTATAGTTTTATTAACAAATTAACTTTAATCAAAAACTTAAATACTCCCTCCAGTGTATTTATTCAGTTTGATTTTTTCGAGTCAAGTTAGACAAACTTTGAGCTTCAATTATGTAAACACCGTATTGTATTTTAACATAAAAATGACTTTATTGGATTTATCGTATTGAGAACTTTCAAAATTATATTTCATTATGCTAATATGCAATATAAATTGAGAGTAATTGGAATTCAAAGTTTGTCTAGTTTGACTCGAAAAAGTCAAACTAGACAAATACACTGGGACGGAGGTAGTATGTGGTTGAGATCGTTTAACAAAAACTGTAGAAGTTAGAGTTAGCATTTTGAAATAACTATCTAAACGTAGTATATCTTTATATTTTCAAAATTAGTGTATATCATAAAAATTTAATCAAAAACACTAATGTTAATATAATCAAGAAGATTATATTCTTCCAAAATAAAACTGGTGTAGGTTTAAATTCTCACGCCCATCCCATCACGTGCAAGCGTGGTCGCATCGAATTAAACATGGACCGTGAAACCTTGTTTGATAAAAAAAGAAGTGGATGAAAGTGAGTTTCAAATCAAACTCGTGATCTCTTATTCAACTTGGCTCTAATACATGTCAAGTAATCAACAAAAGGTCAAGTTTGTATTGCATATTAATATAAGGGAAAATTATCACCAATAATCTCACCTTTGTCCGCTCTTTCAAAAATAATCCCACCTTTCCGAGTGGTCAGTAATAAGCTAAGGTTGTACCGTCTCTGTCAGAATTGGGCATCCGTTTAAAGTTTAACGTACGACTAACGGAATCTGATTTGGCAATTACACGTGGATATTACGTGTATTATCTTCTTAACCCTTCCTCCTCCTCCATCGAAACACCTCTGCCCTATCGAAAAGAACTCCAAAAGCCCCTGACCTCCTTCCCCACAGAAAACATCTCAAAACCCCATCAAAATTTTGATTCCGTGCTAACCCTAATTGGATTAAGAGTTCTCAAGCCGTCGCAGCGCCTAAGAGAAAGAAATAATAATTTGAATTCAGGTAAACACTATTCTTTTATTTTTTGTTCAATTGAAGCATAATACAACTGAATTGATTTTACACGACACTGCATATGTATTCAGAGATGAAGCTCATATACAATTATGGTGGAGTTTTGAAATTTGGGAGCGTTACAGAGTATGTTGAGGGTAATATACGTGTATTTGACAATTTAGATTCCGATAAAATTGGGTATTTTGATCTTCTTGATTGGGCAAAAGAGTGTGGAGATTATCCTCATGTGTCTGAGATATATTATGCGAAACCTGGCTGTGAGTTAGGTAAAGGGTTGAGAAAAATTTATGGTGATAAAGAGACAATTGAAATGGTGAATGTTGGAGAAGAAAGTGGTAAGAGTATGTGTTTGTATGTGGTGTACCAGAATCAACCTGTTTCAACCTTTGCTTCAAAACAAAAGAGTAGAGAAGTTAATCTTGTCACTGAAAATTTTGAAAGAACAAGCCCCAGGAACATTCAGACTATTTCTACATTCACCCCATCCTTTTTTATTGAGGAAGAGGAGGTGTTGCAGTCTACAGATGTTGACATTTCTAATGATGATTTAACCGAAGATGGGGAAGAAGGGGAGAGACTTGAAGAGGTTTTTAATTTTGAAAAAAGGAATAGGGTTGAGACATCTTTTGAAGAGCAGATTCTTGGGACTTCTACAAAGAGTAACAACAAAGATGTAGGAGAGGATATTCCTGATGTGGAGGTGCTATTGGGTTCTGACAGTGACACAGATGATGAAGAATGTCGGGATGCTAGAAGAAACTTCAACAACTCGCATGACAAAGAAAATGCTAAACTTGATGGAATTGTGAATCAAATAATAAACA